AATAGAAAAAACCAACAAAGGCAGATAAACGAACGTTGGGGGTGTCCACGTGTCAGTAATACACGCACCCTTGAGTTTTCTTATATAGTATGAAGGTAGATTTATCTCGGTTATTTTCGGATCAATTTTAATTTAGTTTGAGACAATGGTTCGACCGTCTCAGACTGAACAATAGCGACTAAAACCGTGCACAATATAGTAGACAGATTGCACATTAATGACTGTAAGACGTCACAACAACGACTAAACTAGAAATTCTAGAAATTTTGGTTCAAATAATTATATTCCAATTCGATAATTTTTTTTTTTACTTTAAAAAAATCAGCTATTTCTTCCGAAAAGAAACAAGACTATAAGGTATTAAATAAACACATAAAAATATCAAAATACCGACGCCAACCGATTAATAATATTGTGTATATACTGACCATTTTTTCAAAATATCGACGTCAACCGAATACAAGTTCAATATATTTTTTATGCGAAAAAAATATTTTTACAATATAAATAATATTTAATTTCAGTTATTACAGTTAATTTTGTTAACCAACCTAATAGAAAAATTAATTCGATTCAATGTTAATTTTGTTTGACACAAAAGATCAATTGATTCATGTTGCACAATATCAACTGAAATCATGCACATTAAAGTTAGAGGAGTTGCACATTACTGACTGACAGATTGTACAATAGCGGTTGAACTATATATATATATATATATATATATATATATATATTTCAATATGCTTGTTCTTTTAAAATTTTGGTTATTTGTACCAATAAAAAAATATAAATTATTAAACAAATATATAAAAATAACAAAATTCAGCACCAATCGCTTAGCGGTAATGTGTACAAATTGGCTAAATTTTTCAGAATATCGCCGCTTCCCAAATACAATTTGATATATTTTTCACATATTAATACTAAATATATTTTTTATAATATACATAACATGTTATTTCAATTCTTTGATTAAATACGTTAAATAACCGAATAAACCAATTAATTCGGTTCAGTTTTAATTTGATTTGAGGCAAAAGTTCATCCGTATTGGTCAACACAATAGCTACCGACATTGTGCACAATATGGTTAGAAGAATTGCACATTAATTACTGATAGATTGCACAACAACGATGGAACTAAAACTTTTTGTGGTTCGATTCGATTCTCTATATTTTAAAGTGCATGATCCCACACAATATCGTGCAATTTATGTATCATTATTGTGCATTTAATGAACTTTTATTAAATTACATATTTGCCTCACAAATTGAAATATATTGATTTTTTTTTTTGTGCCAATACCATTTTAATATTGCTAAGTATTTAATGGACTTCAAATCACAATCAAAATTTGCTTTTCCACACAGAATAATCCAGCCATACATTGATCTTATGTACATGTAATGAAATATATCGAATTTTAGTAAATTGTAATTGGGTCCCTAGAAC